TTCTTACAGAGTAGACCAGTCTCTCCCCCGATCCCATGGCCTCGGCGACGGCGTGCCAACTCCGTGGATCGCTAAGCCGTGCTTGCGCGTGAGCGATCCATGCGGCGGCGCGGTGGAAGTAGCCGACGGTGGCCCTCGACCTGGGGCCGCGTCGCGGGGCGTGCTTGTTGGAGGAAGCTCAGGAGGGGGAAAACACACACAGACACAATTATTTGTCGATTTCCAGGAAAATATGAGAAAATATAGGAAGTGGGGGGGAAGACAAAAACCCAGAAAATATGCGAAAATATGGGGGACTATTTTATTTGTGTCTATTCATTTGTGTGTCCTGGGGCCCCTTCAGAAGCGCAGACCGTTCTGTCTCTCTCTCTCTTTCTCTCTCTCTCTCTCTCTCTGTCTTTTTCTCTGCTTGCCCCCCTACAGTTCAGATGATGATGGAGCGGAGGAGGAGGAGGAGGAGGAGGAGGAGGAGGATTGCAGAAAGAGAGAGGTAACGAGGCAGAGGAGAAGAATGAGGTGGACGAGGGGGAGGGAAACAGAGCGAATGATAACATCATAATGACGAAGGAGGAGGAGGATGACGATGAGGAGGAGGAGAAGGCACCAACAGCAGCGGTGATTGGGGACCTCTCGGGCCGTCTTGGGGGCGCGATCTTGGGGGCCTACGTCGGGATCCCGAAAAGGCGAGAGCGCTAACATCGGTCAACAACACATTTTACATCAATGATTTGGGACTCTGTGGGTCCTCTTGGGAAGGCTCCTGGGGCCCGCCCACCGTTCCGCCTCCCGCTGGGGCCCCTTGACATCGATCGGACGTGTGCATGTTTTCCTCGGCGGGGACTACCGAGGAGCATCCTGGGCCATCTGGCAAACATCGAACACGCACCATCACCGAAACATGCAGGGGCAATGCACGTCTGAGCGATGTCGAGGTTTGTGCTTGACGAATTCCTTTTGTCGCTCCCCCCGTCCGTCTCTCCCGACCCTCTCGCCCTCCGCCGTGGTGACTCGACGACCCGCTGGTGAGAAGCGAGTGAGGGCCATTCTCGAACAGCAGACCAACGTTACGTCGGTCATGTCCTCTACAGGATGGATATTCAAGAACAGTCAAAATAGATAGGCTTGGACTGATGTGTCTACTATTGTTGACTATGCTTAAATGCTATTCGACAATTTCCTCAATCAGTGCTTGCACTGAAGGGGTTCTAGCGGAGGTTGAAGGATTTGGCGAAAGTTTCCCGCCGATTTTGGTCGCACGCTGGGTTCCCGGGTTCCCGGTTCCGGGTTCCCGGGTTCCCGGTTCCCGGGCCGATTTCGGTGGGCGGCGAGGTTCCCAGGTTCCCGGGTTTTTGGTCGATCTTTTTATCGATCGGTCTCAACGACGATCTCATTTCCCACCTCTCTATCGATCTCACCATCGATCTCGTATTTGATCTCACTAGAGATCACACGAGCGATTCTCGCGATCGATCTCATTGAATCGATCTCACTCTCGGTCTCACGATCGACCTGACAATCGTCCTCTTTCGATTCCACGATCGATCTCACAATCGATCTCAAGATTCATATGACTAATGTCCAAATCATCCACTGATTTGGGTTTTCTCAGGTGCAATATTTTTTTATATTTCCCCAATCAGTTCTTGCACTGAAGGGGTCCTATCGGAGGTTGAAGGATTTGGCGAAAGTTTCCCGCCGATTTTGGTCGCACGCTGGGTTCCCGGGTTCCCGGTTCCCGGTTCCTGGGCCGATTTCGGTGGGCGGCGAGGTTCCCAGGTTCCCGGGTTCCTGGTCGATCTTTTTATCGATCGGTCTCAACGACGATCTCATTTCCCACCTCTCTATCGATCCTACCATCGACTTTATAATCGATCTCACAATCGATCTCGCAGTTGATCTCATTAGAGATCGCACGAGCGATTTCGCGATCGATCTCCCTATCGAACTCATTGAATCGATTTCACTCTCGGTCTCACTATCGATCTCACAGTCGATCGCAAGATCCATATGACTAAGTTTCAAATCATCCACTGATTGGGGTTCTCTCAGGAATAATATTCATTTGTTTCCAAAATCCGCCTGGGGGAGGACATGCCCGACCTCAGACCAACGCAGCCCACATTTTGTCCTACAGCTAGGTTCCGAACGAAAGGTTGCGACTTGACTGTGCAAAACCAACCTGCGGGCCAAGAGGCCTTGCGGTGCAGCCCTCACGGAGCCCAGGCAGCAGTTTGTCCGGATCGAGGTTGGTTGGAAGGCCCGACTAGACGTAAGAGTGACTCTTCGCCGGAATGTCCTTTGGTGCGCGCTCACTGGGGTCCCCCGATCGCCGCGCTCGTTGCGATATTAGCGTCTTGCGCGCTTGTGTTTGGCCTCGTCGCGCCCCCCAAGAAGCCGCGCACCAAAGGTCAGTCTTACCCAGGGTCACTCTTCCGTGCAGTCGACGTTGGTGGCAAGATGTTGGGCCTTGCTCCGTCTGCACAGGAGAAGAGAGAGCTGGGCCCCATGGGCGTTTTCATCGTCGGATTGAAACAGCGTGACTTGGACCTGGCCCACCCTGGCAAGGGGATCGGCTTACGAGGGCATGAGGGCATGCCATCCATAAGGACCTGCAGTAGGCACTATGGAACAAGGCTGCGAAGTAACCCGAGGGTCACCCGATTCAGAAGTCTGTGACGAGGATGTGACGCAAAACACTTTCTCAAGAAGTTGGCGCCTCGCTGGACAGCGCAGCGTACGGCCAAAGCAGGTTGCGTGTGACTGTCAAGTCGTCCGCGCGCTGGTCAAGTGCAAGATGCGTCAACGATCCGATACGTGTATTGACGCGTCGCCTGGAGCATTGGTGGATTGCACGTACGAGGGACCTGGAGCAGCAAGCAACAGCCTGTGTACCCCACGACCCAGACTTGCACGTGTCTTGATGTCTTGATGTAGGAGGAGTAGGAGGAGGAGGAGGAGGAGGAAGAGGAGGAGGAGGAAGAGGAGGAGGAGGGGGAGGAGGGGGAGGAGTGGGGGGAGGAGGGGGAGGAGGGGGGAGAGAGGGGGGGGGGGAGGAGGGGCAGAGGGGGGCAGGCCAAGCTAGTGCGCTCGCGTCATATCTGACGTCCTACCCCTCCCTCCCATCCCTTACCATGGCGCTGATTTTCTCTATCCGCGGACGCGTGTCGTAGCGGACCTGTGGCTCCGCGCGCGCGTGCGTAGTGGGTGGTGGTGCGCGTGCGTGCGTGCGTGCGTGTGTGCGTGGTTGTGTGGTGCTGGTGCTGGTGCTGGTGCTGGTGCTGGTGCTGGTGCTGGTGCTGGTGCTGGTGCTGGTTGTGCTGCTGGTGCTGGTGCTGGTGCTTGGTGTGGTGCGGTGGTGCTGGTGCTGCTGCTGGTGATGGTGGTTGGTGGTGGTGGTGGTGGTGGTGTGGTGGTGGTGGTGGTGGTGGTGGTGGTGGTGGTGGTGGTGGTGGTGCGGCGCGGTGGTGGCGGGCGGATGGGCGCGCGAGAAAGAGGCCCGCGCTGGGGCGAGAACGCCATCCTGAACGACGGAGGCCAAACACCGATCCGAAAATGAGGCCCACGCTGCAGCGGGAGCACGATTCGGAACGATTCGGGAGCAGAAATGAGGCTGGCGCCTCAGCGAGAGCAGCCCAACTCCCGGGAATCCTGTGTGTAAAAAATCAGTACGCGCGGGGGGGGGGGTCGGCCACTCCCAGCACGCCATCAGGGGAAGAGGGAGAGTAGTATTCATATTGAGTAATTGTGGAGGAGGAGGAGGAGGAGGGGGAGGAGGAGGGGGAGGAGGAGGAGGAGCAGGAGGAGCTGGAGAGGGTGGAGGATTCCCTGCCAGGCTCCAGGAGATTCCACAGAAGCCCCAGAGGGGCACTCCCTCCCGTGCGCCTGCCCCGTGCCGGCCGCCGGCTCCCTCTGTCCTATAGCCCCACCGAAGAATGTTCTAAGAACCTCTTTGTGGTCTGCACGAGTTGTTCTTAGAATCTGGCTGGCTGGTGTTGTCTTGTTCCAACAGATCGGGTTCATGTTCCAAGAGCATGACTTCGGTCCTTGGAGCACTGTGGGCTTCCAAGAACATCTCGTGGCCGGCCTACAGGAATACTGGGACGGTCGGTCCTTGCTCAAGCCTAGTGAGGATGAGCAACCTTCCCGAGCGTACCCCTGCATCCTCGCCTCATCGACCCACCCTTGACCGCTTTCGCTGGCCGCGCCCAGCTCGAAGAGCTCCGAAGCGGCCCTCCAAGGCCCTTGCATCCTCATCGTGCATCCTCATCGTGCGGCATGACCAGTCGCCGGAGTGGCCTCTGGTGCGCCGCTCTCGGGGGGGCGCTGCGGGGCCGGGCCCAAGCGCGCAGGCCGCCACTGCCGCACCGCACGCAACGGCTGGCAAGCCGCGCACCAGGTCACTCTTGCGGAAGGTCGCTCTTACATGTAGCCGAGTCGCCTGCCGTCCCCCCGCCCCTGCCGTCCCCTCCTCCTCCTTCTCCTCCTCCTCCTCCTCGCTCCCCCTCCGCCCCCTCCTCCTCCTCTTCCTCCTCCTCCTCCTCCTCCTCCTCCTCCTCCTCCGCCTTCTCCTCCTCCTCTCCTCATCCCTTGTTCTGGCTGCCTCGCTCGAGCCAGGCTGAGGTGGCTCTGGCACGCAGCTCAACATCCTCCGTGCCGCTTCCGCCACGGTGTGCACGGGAGTAGACGTGGGCGACGACGAAAACGGGGCCGTCTTCGCCGACGTTGGCCCGTAAGCGTCCCGCGTGAGGTCGCGCGTGAGCGCCCTCGTTTCCAATTTGGCGTGCCGCGCTGGCGGCCCGCGCAAGCCGCAGCGGAAAGCCTCGATGTCATCTCGCGTAAGGTCCGTGTCTGCTCATCGCTCATGTGGTGCGTCACAGTCGCCCCTTTCGACAAGCCAAGAAAACATATGCCCTCTCCCTCCCTCGGCGGGCCTCCTCTGTGTGCGCCTGCCGGGTACCGCCCACCGGCGCTCCCAGCGCTCCCTCCCCGCGGCCCGCCAGGCGTCGGGCCGGCACGGCGCTGAGAGCGGAGCCGAGGGAGGGCGGAGGCGAAGGAGGAGGAGGAGGAAAGTCGTGTTCCTGCTAAGTGGGCTTCTGTTCTGCTAAGTGGGCTCCAGATGTGCTTGGTCCAGTTGTCAGCTCCGCCTCCTGCTGCTGGTCTTGTTGTTCCTCCTCGTCGTCCTCCTCCTTCTCCTCCTCCTCCTCCTCCTGTCCTCCTCCCCTTCCTTCCTCTTTTCACGTCCTACTACCACCTCGTCCTCTCCCTCCTCCTCCTCCTTGCCTCCTCCCCCTCTCCCTCCTCCTGCTCCTCCTCCTCCTCCTCCTCCTCCTCCTCCTCCCCCTCCTCCTCCTCCTCCTCCTCCTCCTCCTCCTTCTCCTCCTCCGCCCTCCTCCTCCTCCTCCTCTCTCCTTCCTCTCCTCCTCCTCCTCTCTTCCCTCCTCCTCCTCCCCCTCCCCCCTCCTCCTCCTCCTCCTCCTCCTCCTCCTCCTCCTCCTCCTCCTCCTCCTCCTCCTCCTCCTCGCCCTCCTCTGCCTCGTCGCCCCTCGGCGGCCTTCAGCGGCCGCCGGTGGCTTTCGGCAGCCCCTGGCGGCCTTCGGCGGCCCTCGGCGGCTTTCGGCGGCCCTCGTCGTGTTCCTGCTATGTTCGCTTCCGATGTGCTGGATCCTGTTGCCAGCCGCGCCTCCTGCTACTGGTGTTGCACTGTGGTTCATGCCAAGTTGCATGGAGAGACCTGGAAAACAACTCCACATCCTCCTCATCGCGCTCCTTCTCTCCCTCTCTCTCTCTCTCTCTCTCTCTTTTTATCCCGCATCCCCCACAGTGGAAGCCTCTGTCTCATGCCCATCTGCACTTGCATTTTGCATATGCTGCATTGCACTTGCATGGAATGCCATTGCATTGCATTGCATTGCATTGCATGGCATTACAACGCATGGGATTGCATTTCTGTTGCGTCACTTCCAATTGCGCTGCGCTGCGTTGCGTTGAGAGTTCCTCGCAACTCAGGGCTCCGAGCTGCCAGGGGCAAGGTGGCCTGGCCCATTTCGCCTGACTCATCCTCGCAACTCTGGGATCCAAGATGCCACGCGCGAAGTGGTCCAGTCTATTTCGTCTGAGACGTCCTCGCAACTCTGGGCTCAGATATGCCCCTAACCTGAGGATGTCCAGCCCGTTTCGCCTCAGACATACTCGCAACTCTTGGCTCAGACATGCCGAGCGCGAGGTGATCTGGAAAAGCTTATTTCAGACATTCTCGTCTGAGACATCCTCCCCAACTCTGCGAGATGCCACGCGCGAGGTGGTCTGGCCAATTTCGCCTGAGACATCTTCGCAACTCTGGGCTCCCAGATGCCGCGCGCGAAGAGGTGCGGCCCGGCTCGCCTGAGGATCCTTGCAAATCCTGGCTCATATATGTCCTGGATTGATGTGGTTCGGGCCCACTTCGCCTGAGACCTCCTCGCAGCTCTGGGTTCCGAGAAACCTCTCGCGAGGTGGTCTTGCCCATTTTCGCCGGAGGCATCATCGAAACTCTGGAATCGGAAATGCTCTGACTGAGTTGGTCCAGCACGATTCGCCTGTGACATCCTCGCAACTCTGGGCTCAGACATGCCCTGACCTGAGGTGGTCTGGCCCCATTCGCCCAGGGCATTCACGCAACTCTGAGATCCGAGATGCCAGGCGCGAGGTGGCCCAGTTAAACTCGCCTCCGACCTCCTCGCAACTCTGGGTTCCGAGATGCCGCGTGCGAAGCGGTCCGGCTAATTTTGCCTGCGACATCTTCGCAACTTTGGGCTCCAAGTTGTCGCGCGTGGGCTCAGGGATACTCTGACATAAGGTGGTCCAGCCTGTTTCGCCTGGGACATCCTCGCAACTCCAGGCTCAGAGATGCCGCGTGCGACGTGGTCGGGCCCGTTTCGCCAGAGGCATCATCGAAACTCTGGGATCGGAAATGCTCTGACTGAGTTGGTCCAGCACGACTCGCCTGTGACATCCTCGCAACTCTGGGCTCAGATATGCCCTGACCTGAGGTGGTCTGGCCCCATTCGCCCAGGGCATTCACGCAACCCTGAGATCCGAGATGCCAGGCGCGAGGTGGCCCAGTTAAACTCGCCTCAGACCTCCTCGCAACTCTGGGCTCCGAGATGCCGCGTGCGAAGCGGTCCAACTAATTTTGCCTGCGACATCTTCGCAACTCTGGGCTCCAAGATGTCGCGCGCGGGCTCAGGGATACTCTGACATAAGGTGGTCCAGCCTGTTTCGCCTGGGACATCCTCGCAACTCCAGGCTCAGAGATGCCGCGTGCGAGGTGGTCGGGCCCGTTTCGCCTGAGACATCCTCGCAACTTTGGTCTCTGAACTGTTGTGGCCTGAGGTGATCTGGCCCATGTCGCCAGAGACATCCTCACAACTCTGGGCTCGAAATTGCGACGCGTGAGGTTGTCCAGTCCGGTTCGCCTGAGACATCCTCGCAATTCTGGGCTCAGAGATGCTCCTGACTTGAGGTGATCTGGCCCATTTTCGCCTGAGACATCTTCGCAACTCTGGGTTCAGACATGCCGCGCCCGAGGTCGCTTGGCCAATATGACCTGATGCATCCCCGCAACTCCGGGCACAGGGATGATGCGCTCGAGGTACTCCGGCCAGATTTGCCTGATCCATCCTCGCAACTCTGGGCTCCAAAATGCCGCGCGAGAGATGGTCGGGCCAATTTCGCCTGAGACCTCCTCGCAACTCTGGGCTCCGAGATGCCGCGCACGAGGTGGCCCAGTCAGTTTTGCCTGAGACATCCTCACAACTGGGTTCCGAGAGGTGGGAGAGGAGGAGTCAGATGGGGCCAGGCCCAAGCTTCCTGTTACATTACATCGCAAATATCGAGTTGTTCCCCAGGAGGGGTCCAGGCGCCCCTGCCCCGAGGGGGCAGTTAGCCGGCGCCGAGGCGAGAACATGAATTTCTGACACGCCCTGGTACACGTTGAAATCTCCAGCGAGAGGAGAACTTTGAGGGCGAGGAGGAGAACCAGGAGAGCGAGGTGGGGCGAGAAGAACCAGGAGGAATAACATCAGGAACACGATGGTGATAGTGAGAAAAAAAAGAGGAGGAGGGAGAGGAAAGACGAGGAGAAGGAGGAACGGGATGAGGGGGGGAGGAGAAGGAGGGGGAGGAGAAGGAGGTTTGGGAAGGGGGAGAGGGCAAGAAATATTGGCATAGAGGACGATGTCAGCAATGACGACGACTGTGATGATGACAAGGGCGCAGGCAAATCAGGGGCGGGAGGACGATGATTCGGTGGACGCGCGAACAATATTTGGAGCCATCCTGGCTCAAAATCGCTCTCGGGGATGCTGGACTGAGCCTATAAATCGGTATGTTGGTGATGCTTCTCCGCCTCGTCTCCATCCATGTCCTGGTCCTCCTTCTGCTGCTGCCTCCTCCATCTCCCCCCATACCCCTCCTGCTCCTCCTTGCAGCCCCCTCTCTCCTCCAGACTCCCGCAGGGCCCCCTTGGACGGTGCGAATGTTGATGCTAAGAACGGTTATGCGCCTGTCGGTAGCAGTATCGCTATCGATACCAGTACCGATGCCGGTGCAGGTACCAGTACCAAGCCATGATCGGCATCGGTATTTCAACAGAAGATACAGCCGACACCAACAGCGGTTCGCTTCCGATCGAGCCCCCTGCCCCTGGGGTCTTAGGCGTTTGCCGCATTCTACGCGTTCTCGGCAAGGCCAACACAGCGGCCCTGCTGAGAGCACGTGGCGCGGCGAACGTCTAGGATCTACACGGCGGCGTCTGCTGAGATGAGGCTTGCGCTGTAGGGGTCTTCCCAGCGAGGCACGCGGGTGCCTCTGCTGAGAGGACGTGTGTCTGACCCTGGGATCATCGTCTGGCCCTGATGAAACAAGCTCTACTTGGAGGGCGTCGTCTCATCACGCCCAGCGGGCGATCCCGGGATCAGACCCACGCCTTCTCAGCAGAGGCACCCGGGTGCCCTTGCTGAGAAGAGCCTTGCAGCGCAGACTTTCTCTCAGCAGAGGCCGCCGCGTAGATCTCTTGGGCGTTCGCCGCGGCCTCGGCCGGCCGTCCGCTTCTGCCGCGGCGGACGGCCGCCCGTTCATCCGATTCGTCTTCGTCGTAGTCGTCGCCGTCGTCGTCATCCGGACCCTCATCGTTGTCGTGGACGTTATCATCATTATCATCATCATCGTCATCATCATCATCGTCCTCATCATCATCGTGGCCATCGTCATCACCACCGCGCTCATCATCAAATTCACTCACAATCAATTTCATGAGGAATCATTGCAACCATTGTTGTCGTCACCTTGAGCGCCGATGCTGTTGTGATATATTGCAGTCGTCATGGTCGGCGGGTCGCCGCCATCGTTGCGATCCACCTCGTCACGGCAATCATATTATTCATCCTCATCCTCCGCTGTATCTTCCTCTGCTGTTTGATACTCTGCGCATCTGCGGCCCATCTGATCCTCTTTAATTCCTCCTTGGACAAGCGTGGAAAGTGAGGAGCGAGAAGTGTGCGGGGGGGGATGGCGGGCGAGACGTGACAAGAGAGCAGCGGAGGGACGGGGGATGTGAGGGGCAGCAGCAGCAGAAGGATGACGCGGAGCAGCGACGAAGGAGGAATCTATTAAGGCCCGGGTCCAGCATCCCCATCAACGACTCTAAATCTAACGTGGCTTCAAAACTTGTTCTCGTCCTCCGAGTCACCGTCCTCATGTTCCTGATTTGCGTGCGCCCTTGTCGTTATTAATGTCGTCGTCGTTGTTTATGTCGCCGCCCTCATCGTGTTTCTCGCCGCCCACCCTCCTACGCAACCTCATCGTCTTCCCTTCTCCTCCGCATCCTCATGCCGTTCCTCCTCCTTCTCGCCGTTACTTTCCTCCTCCTCCTCCTCCTCCTCCTCCTCCTCCTCCTCCTCTGTATCATCCTTCTCATCATCGTGCTCCTGATGCTCTACCTCATCCGGGTTCTCCTCGCCCTTCCTTGTACTTAAGGTTATCCTTCTTGC